TCTTATCCATAGATGCTGATCACAGGCTTGTATTTTGCTAAATTTTCAGCTGCATCATCAGCTGAACAGGGCTGGTTTCAAATATTCCAATTCCATTTATTTGCTTTTCAAATTATGTTAATAATTTCTTCACTTTCTAAACTTGGTGAGATTGACCCTAACTTTTTTAAAAAAGTCCCTGCAAGAAAATCTGCAGAGCATGTCAAAATCCAAAATAAATTTTATTTTAATAATCAGAATCTATACCACTGATGCCTACATCTTGAAAAAAAGTGTTCCAACTTAGCTGATTGAATTTCTCTAGCTATTTATAGAATGAAGTTTTATCATCTATCCTTCAAAAAAATCTTTCAACGCCTCAACTGCTCCTATCAGAAAATATTACATTTCTTTCTTGCATTGCCTCATATAAAAGCACTATGCTTTCAGGGAGAAAAATGAATGTTTCAAATACATTACCATGCAAGAAAATTACATTTCTCCACCTGGCACACTTGGTAGGTTAACAGGTTCTGCATGTTGGGGCCATTAAAGATTTGTTTTTGAAGAAAGAACATAAAATATACAGAGCTTTGAAAAGACAGTGTAGAAAAGCAGGGTCTTCTCCTAACTCTTGAAGTGGAGGCTGTAATAGTAAACTTCTCTGTGGACAACATGGCCTCCACCAAACAGATTTCATGCCTATATAAAATGATCTGCAGCCCCTTTGTGCTCCGAGTGCTCAAATGTCTTGAGTTTCACACTCGGGCCAGAGGACGGCAATAGCTTGGTTTTCGAGATGACTTTGGAGTCAGAAAGAGCTGGCCTCAAGAAAAAAAAAATCAGAAAAGATTTAAGAATCAGGAAGCCCTTGGGTCTGCTGATTCTTCATGTGGTCACATCATGATCTGTAAGTCTTAGGAAATAGCAGCGACTATGAGACAGGAACCCTTGAAGGAGCAGCACTGTGGGGTGGCGTGGGGTGGCACAGGGTGGCGTGGGGTGGCACGGGGTGGCGCGGGGTAACACGGGGTGGCACGGGGTGGCGCGGGGTAACACGGGGTGGTGCGGGGTAACACGGGGTGGTGCGGGGTGGCGCAGGGTGGCTCAGGGTGGCACAGGGTGGCACAGGGTGGCACAGGGTGGCTCAGGGTAGCTCGGGGTGGCGCAGGGTGGCTCAGGGTGGCTCAGGGTAACACGGGGTGGCGCAGGGTGGCTCAGGGTAGCTCGGGGTGGCTCAGGGTGGCTCAGGGTAGCTCGGGGTGGCACAGGGTGGCGCAGGGTGGCACAGGGTGGCACAGGGTGGCACAGGGTGGCTCAGGGTGGCACAGGGTGGCACAGGGTGGCACAGGGTGGCGCAGGGTAGCTCGGGGTGGCACAGGGTGGCTCAGGGTGGCACAGGGTGGCTCAGGGTAGCTCGGGGTGGCACAGGGTGGCTCGGGGTGGCACAGGGTGGCTCAGGGTGGCTCAGGGTGGCATAGGGTGGCTCGGGATGGCACAGGGTGGCACGGGGTGGCGTGGGGTGGCACAGGGTGGCGTGGGGTGGCACGGGTGGCGTGGGGTGGCACAGGGTGGCGCGGGGTAACACGGGGTGGCACAGGGTGGCGCGGGGTAACACGGGGTGGCGCGGGGTAACACGGGGTGGTACGGGGTTGCTCGGGGTGGCTCAGGGTGGCGCGGGGTGGCACAGGGTGGCTCAGGGTGGCGCAGGATGGCGCGGGGTGGTACAGGGTGGCACAGGATGGTGCCATCTGTCTGTCCACTTCTTTCAGACTATTGCACTATACCCAGGTGCCTATAAACCCAGCAGAGGAAAGGAGGCACTTGGGCCTCCCCTGACTAACTCAGAGCTTATAGGGCTACGAGATCCTTCAGAGACTCCTTACCTGGACTGAGAAAAAAAACACAGTTAACATATTAGGATTTGCGTATCAAACCAATTCTTAGATTTTTTTAGAACACAAGAGCTCACTTGACATTGGAAATGTGTAAATGCTGGGTCACAGAGGGAGGCATCCACGCTGTCACCAGCACTCTTTCGCCAATGTGATGCTCTTCAGAGCTTTGGGTGACACCTTGTAAAACAGGCATGAAAATGCCCAGTAGGTAGGACAGAGAATCCAAATCTACAGAGGATGAATGGTGATTAAACACAAAACCTCAACCATGTGCAGACACGCGCAAAGACAGGGTAGATAAACACAAAACCTCAGCCATGTGCAGACACGCGCCAAAGACAGGGTGGTTAAACACAAAACCACATGTAGTGATACACACCAAAGACAGTCTTCATTCAGGGAAATAAGCACCAAGTAAACAATCTAGGACTAAAAGCGTAGACACAGAAGCAGAACTTTATATTCATTAGCGTCAAGAACGCCACTGGAGCCGAAAGCTTTCGTGGTTCTGTAAAGGACATCCTACCCGAAAAGCATCAACAGCCTAGAGTCTGCCGTGAAGAGTTAGGAAATGAGGACAATCAACACGTGTGCAAACACACACAACTGGCGTTCTCAGCAACGGCAAAAGAGCCCTGGCAGGGTTGTGGTCTTGAGAGGAAAGAATGTGAGCACAGTACACCCCGCCGTGACTCTGGCTGTCTGCCCGGAGGCAGTTTCCAGCCAGCATCACGGGAAGGAGGAATGTGAACAGAGGAGGAGTGGAAGGCAGTGTTTGGGATGCTCAAGACACCTAGGGTGTGTGAGGCAGAAAGCAGAGCGTCTTCACGCCTTGAGACAGACTATTCAAGAACTTCCATTGCAGTCTTGGAATGAGACCAGCATTTCTCAACCTGTGGGTCATGATCTCTGTGGGTTCAATGGCTTTCACAGGGATTGCATACCAGACATTTCCATTACGATTCGTAACAGTAGCAAAATTAAAGATATGAAGTAGCAGCAAAAAATAGCTTCACAGTTGGGGGTCAGCACAACATATTAAAGGGTCACAGCATTAGGAAGGTTGAGAACCACTGCTCTCAGTGACTATCAATCTCAGAATAAAAAGGAAAAAAAAAAAAACCACCCAAGGATGAGGGAACACAATTTTGAGATGAGTTGCTAGGCAGCCAAGGATAAAACTTCTCACAACCCACAACAGCTTGAATTTGTTCCATATCCCCACAGCCCAAATGGAGAGACCTTGTGAATACTCAGCACAGACTCCAGAAATGAGCCCTACAATGTGAACTACTGGGTGGTCTGCTTTCCACAACTCAGTCAAGGACTTCTTGCCTCAAATAGAGCTGGACCATGCCATCCTGGCTCCAAGCCCTTCAAGGGCTGACTCACAATGAGTCAAATCCCCACAATGCCATGGCTTTATAAGACCCCAACTCCTCTATCCTGATCACATTCCCCTGCCACTCTCCTCTCTGACGCCTTTTTCTTCTTCCTCAGGGGTGGAGCCTTTCACTGGTTCCTCCCTCTGCCGGGAAGGCTCCTCCCTCTGACGGGAAGGCAATATTGCAGGCCTCCACGAGGGTCTCCCCCTCCTCTTCCCTGGAGAGTGGCTTAAAGGACACTTTCTCAGGAAGGCCTTTCTGATCACTCTGTTCAAAATGACCATCCCCTTCCTCTTGCCCAAACTCTCCTCTTCCTCCTTCACCACTGTTCCATTGTCTTCAGCATTACGTATTTACCACAACCGACCACTTCAGTCAGCCTCAGATTTTAAACTTTCAGCTCCCAGAGGGCAGGATGTTTTTGTGTGTTGACTGCTTTGTCTCCACACCAAGGCCAGTGCTGACAGCCCCCCAGGAACCGTTGCCTACTGACTGAATCATGGTGGACTTGTACCAGCTCCAAGCACAGGCAATTCCATTAAGAATGACATACAGCTGTCATGAGAACTACGAAGAAAGCTTATTAAAAAAAAAAAAGACTAAGGCCATCAATAACTCTCTGAGTGTGTGACAATTCTCAACGTGATAAAGAGGAAAGAGATGAAGAAGTTTCCCTCCAACTATAATCACCGTGCTCACGGAGCATGGTGACTCGCATCTGTGATCCCAGCACTCAGGAGGCAGACACAGGAGTGCATTGAGTCCATCCTGGCATGCAGAGTGAGTCCTAGGCCAGTCTGAGCGACAGATGAAACTTGGCTCAACAATGAGATGGTGAAATTCCAACAGAGCCAAGGACATGGGACTTTCGTAGAACTCTACAGCAAAAATAACTGCTATAAATTTTCTAGAAAATTAGTTGGCCTTAAAAAAAAAAAAACGTTCCAACAGGGGCTGGAGAGATGGTGCAGAGGTTAAGAGAACTTGTTGGTCTTTTGGAGGACAAGGGTTCTAGTCTCAGCATCCACCTGACAACTCACAATATTCTGTTAACTTCAATGACAGGGGAATCTGGTGCTGTCTTCTGGCCTCAGTGGGTACTTCATGCCTGTGGTACATATGTATACATGCAGGCAAACAGTCATATACAGAAAATAAAAAAGGTAAATACATGTTTTTAAGTTTAAGTATACTTTTACACAATAATTAATTTCAAAGAATTTATCCTAAGGATAATACGCAGACTTCTGTATACAAAATGTAAATATTAATATTATCTCAAGGACTATAAAATAAACAGAACCCAATTGTGGTAGTCATCACTCTTACACAGTTCGGGATCCTGAGTCCTGGGCAGGGTGCTGCCCTCAGTGGACTGGGTCTTCCCAGATCAACTGATGTAATGAAGACAATCTCACAGAGACATGTACACAAGCCAACCTGATCTAGACAATCCCTCATTGAGACTCTCTTCTAGCAAACAAAACTAACATCCAGATCAAGTCTTCTGAGTCTACAGGAGAAACTGGAAGAAATGAGGAGGTGATAGTAGGACCACTGATGTGAAGATGGCAGCTCCAACAGGTGAGTTCTCAGGAACATCAATGTCTACAGACAGACGGAGGGGTGAGGAAAGGCTTCTTTAAAAATTAGAGGCATTCAGAAGAAGCCACAACATTTCATAGTTAGTATTAAACGCGCAACAGGAAAAGAGAGCTGTAACAAGAGGCTTAATTACCTGAAGGATCAGAACCATAGAAACCAGCAGCTGTTGTTATTGGTCCGGGTGGATGAATGGCACTAGTGGAAGACCTCTGGCTTGCGATCAGGATCCTGCTTTTGGTAGATGGGAGGCGGGACATTGCACCCAGTCCCAACTGGGGCTTAAGGAGCATGGCCGAGCGGTAGAAAGTGGGAGGGACCTCATAATGGGTGTAGGGAGGAGAGCAAAAGTCTTCTTTCCCAGGGTGGTCTGTGACCTACGATGAGAGCAGAGTGCATAAGTCTAAACGGGCAGGAGACCTATGCTCCGATGACAGCACCATGATGCCATTAGTTCCTCGGTCAAGTGCTGTCTCTCAGCCCAGTGTCCTCATCTCTATGACGACACTACAGCTGAGTGAGCGCTTCAGTCCCTGCCAGCTGTAATATTCTACCAATCTATATGTCATACGGAGAGAAACAGAACTCAATTTAGATTCTTTTCTCAATTTCATTGATATAAATGCACTGACATTTGAGTGACTACTTATTAAATGAACAATGTCGGGCTGGAGGAAGGCTCAGCAGTTAGAGCAGTTGCAGCTCCAGCAGAGGACTGGGGTTGGGTTTCCAGCACCCACCATGGTGTCTCACAACCAACTGTGTCTTAGTTACAGGGGATCTGTCACCCTCTTTGGCCCCCTCAGGCACTGCACACACATGGTGCACACGCCCGCAGGCAGGCAAAAGACCCATACACATGAAAAAAAACAAAATAAGTAATGGTAATGAAACGAAGAGATAAATTCTATCAAATGTTCAAAAACGCTTAAAACCTTCCTTATACCTATGGAGAAAGTACATGGTTTTATACTCACTAATCTTAAGTAAATTAACTATTGTACTGTATTTAGTGAACAGAAGATTTAGAAACTATTGTTAGCAAGGGAGAAATGTTTATTTGCAAAAAATAGAGAAATAACTATTTAAAAATTTGTAGGCCTATACTGTATATTTACATAATTAAAACCAGATTTGGGGCACAGTGAGATGGCTCAGAGGGTAAAGATGCTTGCTGCTCTGCCTGAAGACTTGAGTTCAATACCAGGGATTCACAAGATGGAAAGAGAGAACTGACTCCTGCAAGTTGTCTTCTGACCGCCACTTGTGTGCTGTACACACACACATGCACACTCACACACACATGCACACTCACACACACACATGCACACAGTCACACTCGCATCCACACATGCATACACACCCACACACATGCACACTCACACACACATGCACACTCACACACACATGCACACAGTCACACTCGCACCCACACATGCATACACACCCACACACATGCACACTCACGCACACTCACACTTGTACACATCCACACTCACATGCACACATGCACACTCACATGCACACACATACCTACACTTACAGCCACACTCATACCCACACTTGCACACGTGCACACTCACATTCACACACGCATGCATATTTACACTCACGCACGCACATACCCACACACTTCCATGCACACTTATACACACACTGGTACACATACACATGCACACACTCACACTTGTGCACATGCACACACACATGCACACTCACACACACTAACACTTGTACACATGCACGGTAACATGCACATAGGCACATACACGCATGCACACACAAATACTTGTGCACACGCACACACACTCACATGCACACACACATGCATGAAAAAGGATGCTGAATGCTCTCAGGAATATTTGGGTAGATTCCTCTGGGATAACCAATCTAGGCAAGAGTCCCATGGGCTGCTCAGTTCAGAGTATGCGTCAGCAGTGTCTACACATAAATATTTGTTAAGTAATCGTGCTTCCCTCCACCATTTCCTCTGCTAATAACATAATAATACTATTAATTTTTCCTTTACTCAACAATCCAGAATACAATCTATAGTAATCATGTGTATGTATATATATATGTATGTACATATATAATGTAGAATACAATTCATAACGATATAACTACATCCTGCTCTCAGAACGTCTGCTCTCACACAATTTGGGATTTGGGTGTTAGGGGTGTAACTCTACCCCTGATCTGCTTTCTAATACATTGTTTCTTTATATTAAGAAAGCAGAAAGAAATGGCATAGTCTATTTAAGTTATAATTTTAAAAAACAGTGCTGGAGCAATGTCTGAGTAGATAGCTCTATTAGTTAATTTTGCTCTACACCGGAATTTAGGCTGTATATCAAGCTGCTATGTGTTCGGGAATTACAAGTATTTCACAATATCTTTTAACAGGGCCTCTAAAAGCTTTGATTTGAGCTGCTGAAGGCATAAGCCCTATTTTGATTCCCTTTTAATGCTGAAATGGATACAAAGTTCTTTAAACTGACATCACTGAAACAAAGGATCAGGCACTTTAAGTTTCATTATGATCACACTGTGAAATACGCCTGGCTATGAGGCTGTGCTAGGCTGGGTGAATCTCTTCCTTGGAAAGAACATTCGCCATCTGCGCCGGGACACAACTGTTATCATCATCTATTGTCTCACTGGCCATCTCCGACTTTTCTTTTCTAGACCCTTCTTTTTAAAAATGTTGGGTGCCACTCGTCCATAAGTAAGGGTTTTAAGATTGTAACGTCCTGATCTGATCTGAACCATGTCAGAGCCCACTATTCTGTCCTTCAACAGTGGCTTTACTGATTCCAGCAGTGGCCATCCCCACCGTTTGGTTGGGTAATCTTCTGGTTGGAAGCATGGAAATGTCCTCTGTAGTTCTTCTTGTGCTGGGTGCTTGATTCCAAGATGGCGGCACCACTACTGAAAGCTAAGAGGTAACCTCTGCATGATAGAACTAGGCCTCTCTCCAGATGAACCTTGATGGTGCTCCTTACGGACTCCCTCCCGCCCATGGACTGAGACTCTCTCTCTCCAGCATCCTTAGGATGCAGCTGCCAGGTGCTTTGTCAGTGACAAGAAAGAAAAAAGAAAGGTAACACAAGCATGAACTCTTTTACAAGGTGAAAATTTTGCTTTTCGTGACTAGTTTATGCATTTTTAATTAAACCTGGGAATCCTGCTTTCCTTTCATCTTTACGACGAAACAAGACAGGTTCTGTAGGTTTGAACACAGCGATCGACACAAGTGTTCCACTGACCTCCTTCTCCGGTTGGGGGTATTTTTAGAGAAAAAGTCTACGAGTCCACAAAAGACTCCGCGGATTTCAAGCACAGTCCTAAAAATCAAAGGATATACGCAAGCAGATTCCTCCTGCCACCGACCCCTCCTGCTCTGTCTTGCCCCATTATCCCTAGGCTCACTGTGCATGAGCTTTCTCTGGGGAGATATAAAATTAGTTATCTGCACTCAAATTGGCACATCATCAAGAGCTCCCAAAAATGACTCCTGCAATGAGCTGGAGAGACGGCTCAGTGGTCAGGTGGACCTGGGTTGGGGTCCACAGGCCACAGCTTGTGACTATCTGTAACTCCAGTTGCGGGGGATATGATGCCCTCTCCTGGCCTCCATGGGTACAACACACAAACAGTGCACAGACCCACATGCAGGCAAAACACACACACACACACACACACACAAATAATTTAAATGACTGCTTAAAGCTAATCCTGCTTGATATGTAAAATGCATTTATTAGGGGTCACTCACAGAGGAGTAGACAGCCGTCTAATTCCACGGCTTGTGCTCAGTAAAACGTACATGAGCCTCCTTAGATATTGGGTCCACTCAGCCTGATGTCACTAGTGCTCTGTCTATAAGATCACTGAATGCTTAACGGCATAAGTCAGAATTGCTGCAAACCTGAATTCGGAGCGCTAGCTAGTCTTTAACAGAACTGACTATAGGCTCAGACAGAAGGAAGCACAATGCAGGCCAGACTCTCAAGCCATTTGTTGATGCGTACGCCATCCCAGCCTTCATCAGGGATCCTTCTGGCCTTGGCAAACACTGCTCAGCTCTTGAGACGATGCCAGGCTGGCATGAAGCGAAAAGACAGCCTGCTAAAGACGCTGCCAACTCAGTTCTCTGCTGCTTTGACAAAACAACCGAAACCAACTTGAGGAGCAAAGGGCTTATTCGCCTCTCTTCATGGTCACAGTCAGTCCTGCGTGCAGGGAAGTCAGGTCAGGAATTCAAGGCAGGAACCTGGCCTGACTTTCTCATAGTTTGCTCAGCTTGCTTTCTTGTGTGCTGCAGGACAACCAGCCCAGGTTGGGCTCAGGGCACAGCAAACATGCAACAAAATAGCAACCACTACTGCTCTTACTTCAAAGAGGTTAGCATAGTCTGTCTTCCTACTATTTTTGTATATATTAATGTAAGACTTTCCATTGTATTTCCTGATGCAGGGTTATACCCAGTTGCACAGACTAGCCTGGGACTCAGTTTTCCTTTCTTGGCCTCATGAATACTAGGTTCACAGGTGAGTACCACTGCACACGGCTCAGCACAAGGTTTTCTCCAAAGTGAAAGACTCCCCATTAAACCATTAGTCTGCTCAGTTTGAACACTCTATTGACTTCAGCTTTTCCCTTGCTTTGGCCTGGTTCATCGATTGCTACTCCTGTATTTAAACGTGAAGCTGACTTAAACAAGCCCTTGTCTAATTCCACGGCTTGTGCTCAGTAAAACGTACATGAGCCTCCTTAGATATTGGGTCCACTCAGCCTTGCTATCACACCGTGTTCTAGACAGCCTCTTCCAGGAACAAGTTTCTACTTTGGTGCAAGCCTGTCCCTGTGTATCTATGGTTCACTTACAGAGGACATTTTGGTTCAAATTTCACTGGGGGGGACAAAAAGCCAGACTTAAATCCACAAATATAGAATCCATTTTACAATGCCTCCCTCTTACCTCCTGCAGAAACTTTTCGCTCATCTGACTGAAATGATGCCCTGGGGGCTTGATCCCAGACACCATCAGTCCAGAGGGAAAGACCCTCGGCTTCTGCAGGTCAGGCTTGAATTTCTCATACATGTTGGCAGATGGCTGGAGGTCACGGTTAGCTGTCTTCTCCTCTTGCGGAAGAGGCATGCCACACGCAGGAGGGGCGTACGGAAGCCCCACGGGGACCAGTGAGGCATCCCCCTGACCCAGGGCCTGGGGGTTCCTACGGATGTAAGTGATGATCTTGGGCCTCACATGTTTGGGCTTCGGCATAATGACGGGCTTTGTCTCCATCCTTTCTTCTGCTTTCTCTATCTCCAGTTTCTCGGTTGCTTCCTGAGAGGAAGGTGTGTCCTTAGGAAGTGTAAGAGGCTTGGGGATCCCACTGGGGCAGATGCTCTTGTCAGGCACTTTCAGGGATGTGTTTAACACCTGCCCACCATCAGTGGGTGGCAAGGCCACCGAGGGTGACCCCGTGTCCACACTGACCTGAGAACTGCTCCCTGGGGGAGTGGAGTAGTGAGGCAAGTTCACAGTTGTCTCTGGGTGGAGGGGAGCTGGGGTCCTGAAAACCAAATCTCCTCCAGATGGAGCGACTTCGGTTTGGGCTGCATTTTCTAGAAGGCTCCTATTTTCAGTTACAGGTATTGTCTCTCTGCTCTCCCTGGCTTCCAAGGTGCCAGTGCGAGGGCCCAAGAGCTCAGAGGAGGCCTCGGCTCTGCTCCCTCCTGCAGAAGGACCCGAGTCCAGTGCCTTGACACTGCCCCCAGTACTGCTACTCTGCCTCCTCTCCTCCCTACTGACCTCGGAGGGCAGGCTTTTAGTCGGATCATGGGGAACAGAAGCTAGGTGGCCGTCCCCCTGTACAAGGTCGCTGGATGTTTGCCTCACCCTTCCACCTTCGCCTGGCGACGTTTTACCGCTGAATCTAGTAGCTCTGTCTCCAGAAGAAACAGCACTCTGCACAGGGGTGGCTTGCTGAGACCCCTCCACACCAGTTCTGACTGTCATCATTTCTTCCAGGCCGCTGCTTTCTCCCACTCCCGGCTGATGGTGGCTGCTGTCCAGTTGACTCGTGGCTTCTTGTGCTTTCTCACGTAGCTCCTTCCTCTCCATGGGTGACACACTTTTTTCCTCATGACATCCCAGGCCCTGTGCCTGGGCTGACTTTAGTCCCTGCTCCTTCCTGGGTTGGATATATTTGAGTTCCACTTGGGGCTCCCCTGCTCCCTGACCTACATGCACTTCTGGATAACTGAGGCTGGAAATTTCCTTCAGGGCTGAACCTGAACTGGGAGTCCATTCTGGGCAAGCTATACACTCGTTGTAACCGTCTAGGCCACGTGTCCCCTCCACCTTGGCATCTGATGGGATGGACCCCCTGGCTTCTGAGGTAGATGGTTTAGGAGGACGCATGTATTTCCCATCTGAGGTACCCTCACCAAGAGAAAAAACTGTCCCTGGAGAGTGACCAGCTGATGTCCCCTGTGGCCCCTCCCCACGTCCAGGCATGTGGCCCTGTGGCTCTGAGGTATCCAGCCCTCTGGGCTGCTGAATCTCCCGAATGAGACTGCCAGCTGCAGCTCCTGGGCCGCCGGCTCTTTTCAGTTCTTCATTGTCAAGGGTCTTTGCCAATTTGTCCTTGGGAGTGGGCCGGGGGATTTCAGCATCCCTTTTAGTTGAAACCTCTGGACTGGCTTGTCCCACTGCATTCCTCCGGGAGGATAGACTTGGTCCCTGGACACTCTGGGGGGTCTGTAGGATACCTCTTTTCCCTGCGTGTTCTTCATCCAGTAGTCTGTGAACAGCCAGAGAAGGCTGGAAATCCCTCTGGCTGGTGGAGCCAGCCTGAGACCCTAACCCAAAGCCCTGCAGTAGAGAGGGCTCCTTCTGGGAGTGGCTGTGGCATTGTGTTCTGCTTAAATTTGCATTTCCAATCTCAGCATCGAGATCACGCGTCCCAGGCTCATCGTGCGAGGAGCCCACCTCCAACATGATTTGATTGGCATTTGGATCGCCCATGCTTAGGGTGCTCCCATTATTATTTTTTGCCCGCTCTTGGTGATCTCTCAACTGACTGAAACAGGATTTCTTTGGAGCCAGTGGGATACTCATGGTCACCTCTTCAGTGAGGGCGCCTAGCCATGCAGTCCCCCGTCAGGCTTCAGGGCAACAGGCAGCCCTCGCGTTACCCGTCCTCTTCCGACAATGTCACATCTAGACACCACTTTGAACCTCTTCAGACAAGCTTTGGAAGCAACAATTGTCTTGACACGTAGCAAAACAACTCACTATGCTCCATTGCTGCTCAGTGAAAATTGGTCAGTCCATGAGACCTGCAAAGAAATAAAAATACAGTCACTTTAGAGAGAAGACAGCAGTAACCATGAGTAAGGGACACATGCAAGAGCTAGGTGGTGACACGCGCCTTTAATGCCAGCACTTGGGGGGCAGAGGCAGGCGGATCTCTGTGGATCTCTGTGAGTTCAGGGCAGCCTGGCCTACAGCATGAGTTCCAGGACAGCCAGAGCTGTTACACAGAAAGACCTTGTCTTGAAAAACCAACAACCTACCCAACACACACACACACAAAAGAGACACAGGCAATAATCACATAGACGTAATCTTTGCTGTTATTTCATTTGCTTATCTCAAAACCATTTCAAACAGGGGCCGTGGCTAGGCAAATATGTCCAAGCTATGACATCATAAGGATACATTTTAGAAATGGAATATAACAGCTCTTACATGTATGTTGTCTTAAAGGTGTGTGGGGGGGGGGTTATAAAACAAAATAAAAGCAATCTCTTCTCTTTACTGAAGTTTTACTTTTTAGTTTATTTTCCACAAGTTAGCTATAATCTAAGAATACATATGAAAAATTCCAGAAACAAACCACCCAGAGATTTCAAATAGGGTAGCGGTCTTTGTCATGTGATAAAACGGTGTGCTGTCCCAGCTCTGTCATGTGGGGGCTCTGAATCTTCTCTTCGACCGTCTACACATGTCCTACCCTTCAGTCGCTTAATGGAGTCTGTTATCAGACTATGTGCCACAGAGAATGAGGTTTGGGTCCAGCCACTCACTGCCCCTTTCTAGCCTCTACACCACTCATATCCCCTCATCAAAGGCACTGCACCACGTGACACCATGGCCATCAGGGTAAGCATGACACAAGCCATTCAGGGAAGAAAAGCAAGATCCCAAGAAGATGATGTCCGTCACAGTACACGATCATGACTGTTCTGTTTCATTGCCAGTCATTTGCTAATTGTTTTGCTTGGCTGAACGTCTAAGTCACACTGTGTCATGGGTCTCTATGTGGAGGGAAAAGGCACCGCCTGTAAAGCCAAGCATCCTGGGAATCTTGAGCTGCATGTTCACCAATGACAGCAGACGACAGTTTCCGTGGCTGACAACCGTGAGCCCAGCATGCTCGTCCTACTGTCGCGTCTCTCTCCATCCCAGCCTCCACTTTCCTAATATCCAATAACTGACCCCAGCATCCTTGCAAATCCCGAGGTACGTCCTCTTTCCCACTCATTTCTTTTCCACCTGCACACACATACACGTTTTTCCACCTGAGTGAGGTCCTTTCGTAGAATCTGGTCCTTCGTTGGTTTTGTTTTGCTCTATGTCCGTTCCCTCTCCCCCCCCCCCCCAGGACAGACCAGCACAACTGTGTCCACTCTTCTACGTATCCTGGGAACATGGACTATTGTGGACACAGCCTCCGTCATTGGCTGCCACACTGATCTAGGGCTCTTTCCACACCTCCCTCATGGTCCCCACTTTCCCTCTTCCCCCATCTTCCCCAGTCTGTCCTCAGCCTGCCAGTAGCACCCTGAGGTGATCTCAATACAACCCCTAACTGAGGAACTGAGCCTAACACAGGAGAGATATGTCACAATCGCCATTGCGTTCTTGTTTCCATTTTGACAATGTATTCCGCCTGAAGATCCATTTGTCCTCTGAGCACAAATACTAACAACATGTAGGCAGATTGATATGACAGCCATTTAAAAAGAAATTGGACTCTCCAGGCTGGAATATGAGTGTCCCGATGAGTCAAGGAGAGCAAGGAATTCACAAGCATGGCCATCCACAGAAGGGCACCACCTCTGAGTCTCTGGAGATGGAAGTACAGACACAAAGCCAAGAGCTCTCTTGGTCTGACTCACATGAACACACAAAACCAAACCAACAGAAGTCACAAGGAACAATGGGACTTCTAGACAGTGACAAATGCCCATAAAATCAGCATTTTGCTAGAGAAAGCCTTGCTGTGTTTGTTTGGTTTTATTTCTTTTGTTTTGTTTTTTAACATAAATTTCTTTTACTTGATATGCATGTGTGTTTTGCCAGCATGTATGTCTGTGCACCATGTGCATGCAGTACCCTAGGAGGGCAGAAGGGGGAGTCATATCCCTTGGAACTGGAGTTACAGGTGGCGTTACAGAGCAGATATGCCAATGCTGGGACTTGAACCTGAGTCCTCTGCAAGAGCAGCCAGGACTCTCAGCAATTGAGTCATCAATCTTTAGTCAATACTGGAGATTTTTAACAGCATCATTAACATTTAATAGGACCACTGTAGCATAAGAATCCATTGTTGGCCAAAATGTTCCTTACAGAGGATATTAGTGCAATGGGACCTTGGGTTCTTCTATCTGTGCCCATCTGTAACCACTGGGTAGGCTCAGCTGTCTTGAGTTCACATGTTCTACGGTTGGGCACCTTACCTAAAAGCTTCTGCGGTTGAAGGCATATCCACTTTTGAATCACGAAATGGATCGACGGCATCTGAATACTCCCACATCATCTCTTTATCCATCCTAGATTCCAGCTCCCTGGGAGCTACATTTTTTTTTTCTGGCAATGCATCATTAAAGTGGCTCTCACACAAAAAGAACCTCAATGGCTCCAACACCACATCATCCTCATCGTCACCCTGAGTCGCCGACTGAATGGCAGGCTGGACTCCGAGGCTCGCGGCTTGAGAGCTGAGTGTTTGATGATCCTTCTGCAGTCAGAGACTTAAATACTTGAAGAGTTCTACTTAAAACACAGCTGCCTCATTAAATAATCCTTCCTAGGGACACCATGGAAATCCAGCTCCCCAAAAGCTGCCAAACAAGAGTAGGCATGGGGTTTCTCAAGTGCAGCGTCTGCACATCTCTCCTTGGGGACCAGCGCTCCTGCACTTCTATCATGGCCATGTTCTTTCCCCTTCTTCTTCTTCCAACCAAAGTGCCCCCCACCCACCGAGTTCCTTCCCCTACCAGTCCTCTGCCCCTCCCCCATCCACTGCTGTCACTCCTCCTCCACTGTTTCTCTTCAGAGAAACATCACCCAGCCATGGTACATCCAGTTGCAATGAGACTAGGCTCTCCCTCTCCTATTAAGGCTGGATGAGGCTATCCCTTAGGAGAAGGGGTCCCATGAGCAGGTAACAGAGTCGGAGACATCCTCTGCTCTCAGTATTAAGAATCTCACAAGGAGATGACATTATACAACTGGATCATATACGCAGAGTGCCTAGGTCAGTCCTGTGCAGGCTCCCTGGTGGTCGGTTCAGTCTCTGGAGCTCCTATGAGGCCAGGTTAGTTGGTTCTGCGGTTTTCTTACGGTATCCTTGACCCGTCTCACGGCCATGTTCTTGACTTTACTGTCTATCAAATTTCACAGACACTCAAATTTGAGAACGTGGAAAGCCCTTCATAACAATGTTGCGGTGCTGGCATGCAATGTATGCACATCTCCCTTTATATATGCAAATGCCTTTAAAGTCACTTACAACCACTAATATAAAGCAAATACTAGCATTACATTGTTTGGGAACAGTGACAAGAAGAGTCGGCATGTGCTCAGCACAGATGGGTTTTAAAATATTTTCCATCTGTGATTGGTTGAACCCACAGATGTGAAGCCCTAGAGATGCGGGGGGACAGCAATTGTGTATTTAACTTTACAGCAGTTAAATGTGCTTTGTATTAAACTGTGTGTCTTACTCATTTGAGGAGACTACAAGCTTACTACATTAACGGTCCAGGAGCTTCTGTCCCCCTGTGGCTTCTGGGACAGCTGTTTTCAGCATAGATACGTCAGACGAAGTGACCCTACTCCACCCCAATGTGGGCTCAGAACAGCGAATGCTCACTACTCACATGTTAGCTAGGACTCTATTTTTTCAGCTGTATAATGGTTGATTGAAATGCTAAAGTTGCTCTTCCAAGTGAAGAAATAACTACCTCTTCCCCAGAGCTGAATCAAGGGGAAGTATGAAGAAAACTGCATTCTGGGGTTGGAGAGATGACTCGGGGCTTGAGGGCTTAATCCTCTTGCAGAGAACCCGGGTACAATGCCAGTACCCAAGTGGCAGCTCACATTGTCTCTGCTTCCAGTTCCAGAGGAATCTGATGCCCTCTTCTGGCCTCCATGGGTACTGTAGGCATATGGTGCACAGACACACAGGCAGACAAAATACCCATACATATAAAATAATAAAAATGATATTCCTAAAAAGTTTTTTTTTGTTTTTTTGAGACAGGGTTTCTCTGTGGCTTTGGAGCCTGTCCTGGAACTAGCTCTGTAGACCAGGCTGGTCTTGAACTCACAGAGATCCGCCTGCCTCTGCCTCCCGAGTGCTGGGATTAAAGGCGTGTGCCACCGTTGCCTGGCTAGTTAAAAAGTTAAAGAAAACTACATTCTGATTGCCATGTGCAGTTGTCAGTCATTTGTTTTTTTTTTAAGTTGGTTGCAGGGATTTTCCTATCACTAAAAGGAAAATGGCTTTCAAAAGATTAAATATTATGCTTACAGTTTCCCCTAACTACCAAGTCTGCTGTGTAAGACTGTTTGAGTTTTCATATGCATATTCAAACATGTAATGTGCCAGCTATCTTAGTGAATATGGCAACACATTGCCCTCCCCCGCCCCCAGCAGAGCTTCAGTATGGCAAGCATGCAGAGTCAAAAGTCTTAAGCTTTAAACTTTAGTAGACAACTTTCCTGAGCAAATATCTGGTATCTACAATATTCAGTTGAATTTAATGATGTAATTTTATATGTGCTCACAAATGATTGCTTATGACCCCACCTGTTCCTCTACTTTAGCATCTCAGGATGGAACAGTTGCAGGCATTCAGATCCTTGTCCTTTTTTATAGTGTTTTATATGTGAAAGCAGCTTTTATTTAAAATTCTTGGGGGGAAAGAAGTGTTTCAAATTCTGCACTTTTCCCAGATTTGGGTAGACATAATGAGATGCCACAGGGATATTCTCAAGTCAAAACAAAGGATTTATTTATACTTAGCATGCACTTTTTATGGGTTAC